GCAAAGTTTTGCCAGGGGGCCAGGCAGGGCATTAACAGGGAAAGGGGGACACAAAGAAATACTTTTCTTTCTTATTCTCATTTAAAATATCTGGCTTTTATTTAATAATTATCTGAATCTTACGAACAAAATTTTTATCTGACGTAAAATGTATAGAAATCATACATATACCAACAGGAATATGTATGACAGTGATGTAAGCTGACTTAAAGCCTTTTGTTTTCATTCAAAGGCTTTAAGAAAGCGTGTTCATGCAAACATCATCATGTCTGCCGTGGTACAATGGGACTTTTGCTCCTGAACTTCTGCGCACAGCGTCTGCAAATCGGGGCTGTACAAAGTCACTTCATCTTTACGCAAGACTGTAAGCTGTCATCTGTAAGGCGCAAGCAGTGTTTGTTTTTACCGTAGTTCATGGTGGAGAAGGGCTGCTCTGCTGAGTTTTGCTCCCTGTAGCCGGCAATGGCAAACAACACTCATTGGCAGCAGCATAGGCACACTTAAAATTTCTTCTGAAACTTTCTAGTTTTATATTGCTAGTTTATATTCAGAAGACACGTCTTCTCCTGAGGACAGAGCAAAATTCCTGGGGGAAAAAATATATATATATTTTTGCTGTCTGAGCCACAAAGAAAGGACTTATGCAAGTAAGAAGTGTCAGAAGCCATTCCAGCTCTTAATCCAGACCTTCCCAAAGTGTGGGGCCCGCCCCCTAGGGGGGGCGCAGCGCCATTACAGCGGGTCGCGGTATGAAAAGGGAAAAAAAAAACCTGAACGCTTGGACACTGCTAGCACGGGGCGCCCACAAACGCAAAGCAGGAAATGAAGCATCGCTGAATATGTTTCCAAACCAACTTCATTCTAAGCCAAAGACTAGAAAATATGGTGAAGCAAATCTTCCCTTTGGCTTCACCTGCACCAGTGTCCTGCAGGATTAATTTTCCATTCGTCGGGAGCAGCGCTGAGCTCTCCAAATCACGGACAAACAGGATCCCACATTCTTGATTTTTAGTTCACAAACACTTGTTGTAATGACTAACTACTCCTGACATGTTGGAGATGTTTGCTCTTTATACAGTAAAGTTACAGCGGGATACAAATAACATCAGGCTGATCCTGCCACGATTTGTTCCCCCAGTTCAAATCACAGGCAAACAGGATCCCACAGCTTTTTATGTTTTTGAACCCATTTTTCACAGAGAGCCTTTTTTTGAAAAATGTATTGACAGCAATGTTGAACATTATTACACAGCAAAAAACAACTACACGTAAAATAATGACACCGTGACGCCTCTGCCTTTGTAAATGGAGGGACAGTAACTGCGTGTAAAACCTGCAGACAGTCAGATTAACAGTATTTTGTCTCTATCTGCTATTCTGCAATTCATCTCATGTAAACAATAACGTGGCCACAGCGTGACGTGGAAAAAGGCACATACCTTTGACGTTGCGTGACGAACTCTGTATTCCTCGTCCACACGTAAACGCAAAAAAGGAGTTTAAAAAAATCTCAGTTTTCTGTGATTCGAAACGCCGTTTATGTGGATGAAACAGCTGCGTGTTCAAAAATACCCGTGTAGGTGCGGACACAGCGTAAAAGAGTTAGTAGTTTATTTCCTTAATACCTGTAATTTATTGCAGATTACTTGTATTTGTTTAATTGTTTACTAAATGTTTGAAGTGTGAAATAAACCACAATGGAGCAAAATAAGGGTGTGTGAGGTTGGAGGATGTGTTTGTGCGTGCGTGTGCGAACATTTTTCTTGTAAAACAAAGGGGGGCGTAGCAAAAAAGGTTTGGGAAACACTGTCTTAATCCTAAATAAATTCTGAAGAACTTTCTGGAAAAAGAACAGTTCAAAGAAATCATTAAAAGCCCAAATTACCATGACATCCATGTCCATGATGAGTGGATTAAAACTCTATGGGTACTTTACAATGACCAGTTAATAAATCTGTGAAGGTTCTCAGTCATCCAGGTTATCGTAGACCAGATGCTTTTCTTTCCAAGCTCCTTAGATGACCAGTTAAAATGCATGTGTTTGAACTGTGGAAGGAAACTGGACTATTATCTTTAAATCCCAGCCACCCAAACTCTAGTTTGATTGGTTTATGTTGAAAGAATAACTAAAAACAGAATAATAAAATTCATTTTTTCTAAACCCATTGCTGCCATCACATTGTACAATCAGTTTAAGACACTGAAACCAAACGCTGATCTACCTTCGTTTTCCTCAGTTATGGAAAAAGCTTGTACTGACCTCGGAGCCCCTTGGATGGTGAATATCTTGTCAGAGTGCTGCTCTCCCAGTTTGGTCATCACTTCGTACAGTTCTCTGCACACCTGGATGGTTTAAAAGAGACATTTTTCAGTTCAAATGATTTCGAAGAAAAAAAGAAAAGCAACCCTGTTGGTTTAGGAAATGAAAAACTCACCAGTGAGATCTCACGATGAAACTTTGCTTCAAGATTCGTTACACTCTTGAAGGTGCTGATGTAGAAGCCAACTCGGCTGCAGAACACAAAAGTAAAACTTGCTGTGAAGGTTCTCTTGTCTTCTTTTCTCTTTTTTTTTTTTTTTGCCTGTCCCGTTTGGCTCTTTTGCCATCAGAATTAGTGTCTAAAGGCGAGGAAAGATGCCCAACGGATTTACTTTACCAAATGGACCATCCCAGCCTTGCCGTAATGGTCTATTTGATTCACCTTTTATTGTTTATTTTATTTTTTATTTTCACTTGCTAAATACGGGACAGACTTGAATGAGGAAAAGAAAAGGGAGAAAGGAAGAGGGGGAAAAAACAGCGGAGAAGAGGGACGGGGATAAAGGGCAAAAAACAAAAACCAACTAAATAAGCAGACAAAAAATACATCTATCAATCACCTGGATTACCTGTTGAGAAAGAAAAAAGAAAACAAGAAAACGAGAGCAATACTGGTGCGACCAACTGTTCGAGTAACAAAAAAAATAAATAAAAAATACTCCGCAACTCTGAAAGTCTCCGTGTGATCAACAGCAGACACACATTGTGCCCCTATCATGGTCTAAACCAATCAAAGATAGTCAGGGGCGGGACCTCTCTGATTGGTCGTGGTCCAGATATTCATGTAATCCGTGTATATGTTTGAAAGTCCAGGGCGGGCAGACAGACAGAGGTGAGTAGCTTGAATAAAGCGATATCGATTCATATTCACATCCTGAATCAACTTTTAAATATAAATGGATTTTGCCAGAAATGACAGAATCTCAGGTTAAAGCTCACAAAACTATTTCAACAAACAGCAAATGAGAGCACGTAAACAGATGCCACACAAAGACGTAAACGCGGACCCGACACATCCGAATCAGCTTTCTCTTCCTCGGCTTTCTCACCCAACGGCCCTCACACGGCATCGGGGCTGAAAAGCCGACAGCTCACTGATCCTGATGCGTCGGGTCGGCGCTGTGTTTACGTCTTTTTTTGCGCTCGATTCTGAGCTGCAGGTTTTGTCTCCAACCAAAGTTCACTGAACCAGCAGCAAAAGAAGCAACAAACTACATCATCATCATCTCTTACTTTTGCTATTTTGCCTCTACCACGATAACAATCACACTTCATGCACAGCTCTCTCTCTCTCTGTGTACTTCAAGAACAGTTTCCCCATCTCAAATCGTGATAAATGCATTGCCCAAGTGGCCCCTCTCCCCACTGCCTTTCAGCAGCAGGCGGTAGCAAACAGGTCGTCAGAGGAGGCCAATGTGATGATTAAGTTTAACATTTACTACAATATTGCCAAAGAGTGCCAAACACTTTAAGCACAAGCACAAGATTGTTAGTTAATCATTTACAAATCAGTATTGTCTGTATGGACTGCAATTCCCCCCC